CTCCAGTTATTTTCAGTAGGCTTGAGTGATCATGTTTGGCAGTGTCTTAATACGATTGAGATCAATCGCAGGATGCTTTTTTTTTTTTTTTTTTTTTTTTTCTTGAGAATGTCTTGAAATGGAGAAGTTTCAGTGCTGTTTGGAAAGCTGATGTGTGTGGGGTTTTTCTTTTTCTTTTTTTTAAATACATTTCGTTGGCAGGTTTGGTTTTTCTTGCACGTGGTAAAGCAGCCCAATGAGAAGACTTCCCTCTGGGCCTTAGACATGTTTGAAAAAAGCACCGTTTCCACAGCTAACGGTCTGGTTGCTGGTTAACCTTTTTTCGGGGGATTTGTTTGAGCATCACACTAAACAGTAAAGTTGCTCACTAACCAAGCTGTCCAGCCTTTTGAACACAGTGAAGCACAGGCCACACAGTTCATTTGTGCTAAATATTTGAGTCCTTTAATACACACTGTAATGTTTTGAAGAGGGCACATGTAATGCCTTTCTACCCAGCGATGACTAAACCGTCGACTGGTAGAAGGCAACGCCACTTGATCCACTTCAGACACCGAAGCATCACACTTTGTTTTTCCTTTACAATACAAGACGTATTGTCACTTTTCTATCAGCTATCAACTGCTCTGTGCTACTTAAGGTTTTTTTTTTTTTCTCCCGTCTGCCTTCTCTTTTCATCAAGTTTCCACACACACTTCTTTCAAACATAACACTTTTTACATCTGAGATGTTTTGCGTTCATATTTTCTAATTGTATTTTCAGAAAAAGAGAGGAAAAAAAGCAAAAACAACATTAATCTTTCTCCTCATGACCTGGGTACAGTGATTGTGTAGTCTATTGTACCTTTTGGGAAACAATACTGTATATCCTTGCCTTCGACAGTCTTAACTATCTTACCCTCTTCTGGAGAACTTGACAGATACCCTTAGAACACAATGAGTATGTTAAAAATATATATACATAAAGTAATATTTTGCAAAATGTATCATTCCAATAAAGTTTTACTTGTTAAGACTAATATGTCTGGGTTATATGTAAACTTTCTCTTCACTTCGCAGAAAGCAGTTGTAGGGCAACAGCTGGATAAGACAAATATACATGCCGGTAGGTGATGGCAGATGCTGTATTTCCACCGTCCTGTCTGTTATTGTGAATGCTTTAAGAGGATAGCAGGCGCAATTGAATAATGCAGTGTTGTGTTCATCCTGTCACAGTATGGTGTCAGTTACCAACCAGCTCCCAGCACCCCTTTCCCAAATGTAACCCCAACCTCAGTGCACTCTTTTATTTTTTCTTCCCCCTCTTTCTTTCTTTCCTCCTCCTCAATTGCATCTATCTGCATAAGTCATACAGTTGTATGCAAAAGGGTTTGGCACCCTGCGGCGAATTGCATATTTTTGTTGATTTTTGAACTGAAGACCAATAAATACGACTCCTGCAGCAAACGCGCATCAAAAATGAATTCTCCACATGTTAATGCACTCCTGCCACTTTGATTTATTTAATGAAATAAAAAGTACTTGTGGGCATGTGCTGTTAAAAGCTTCAGCTTGGGTTTCATGTGTGGATCGCTGTCGTCTTGCAGAAGTCAGCCACTTTTTCAGTTGCACTTCCTTGGCTCGATTGCATGACATTCGCATCCTGAATTTGCTGATAGGCAGTGAAATTTTTTCTTCCCTTTTTATCCATGCAATGTTTCCTGTGACACCACCCCAAAGCACAACATCCCCAGCCCCAAGGTGTTCTTTTCATCAGTGCAATTCCTTCCCTCTCTCTTTCTCTGAATATATATGTATAGATCTCTATAGATCTATATATGTATCTCCAGTAAATATGACCAAAGAGCTGAGCTTTTTGTTCTCCATACAGGTCTGGTCCATCCAGATGTTGCTCTGCATGCTTCAGATGCTGAGTTTTTATAATAGGACCTCAGATAACGTTTCTGTTTTTAATGGCGTGCATATTGGCCACAATAATCCACCATGGAACTTTTTCAAGAAGCTCAAGCTGAAGCTTTTCCCACTGAGTGAGGGAGGGGGGATTGTGAGTTGTTTTCTTAAAGATTAAAGCAATCTGCGAAGGAGTAAGGGATTCAGAATTTCCAAGTCAAGAAAAGCCTCAAATCACAAATGAAAAACTATTGGAATGACTCACTCTGTGTAAAATAAAGTGGGCAATTTGGCCAGTGGTCCGCATATGTTTGCACGTATTAAAGGCCTAGAAACCTGAGCCATCATTATGAATGCACTATTGCCATTTAAAAAAAAATAAAAAAAAAATACAAAGCCATGCAGTAAATCTGTCATTACATTACACATTACATTAAGAAAAATGTTAGTGCATAGATTTAATTTGTAAACATGGAGAACATGCAGATGAGTGACTAATTAAATGAAAACCTTAAACTTTGACCTTTTCATTGAGGGTATCTGGTGACTTTGTTAAGCTGTGGGTGACATAGTTTGGGCCTATGATGTCTTCTTAGGGGCTAATGGTCACTTTAAATCAATATAGATTTGTCCTAAGTGATCCCATGATGAAACGGGGGTGGTTTCTTTCAGGATGACAAGGACCCCACCCTATCTAAAATGCAGAAAGGGTCACTGAATGGGCTGAGAGACTCCTGACTTAGTTGAACGCCTACAGGAGATTAATAAACTAACAATGCTCTCCGCCACCAAATCAGGATATCTTTTCACGAAATGGTGCAGAAACATTAACAAGGTGCTTTGACTTTATGAGGCAGCAGTTGGTGACCCCAAAACCTTACCAAGATGTAAGTTTACATATATACTGTAAGCTATCATGTAAAAACTATAAATCACTGAAACAGCGTTTGTGGTGGTGCAGTACTGTGTAAAAGCCCTGTGCTACCCCTCATTTCTTTATATCTTGCTTCCAAAGAGCCAAACTTTAACAAATTGCAATGAAGTGCTTTTGAGCAATAGTTCTCTTGGCTTTTTGGCTGCTTTTTCACTCATTTTTTAAAGCGTCTTCAAACTGACCTATGAATCATTCAAGCATTAAAAAAATGCACATAACTCGAGGGATGAACCTGTGTTGTGGCTACACAGACAACTTGGCAAAGAACCATTTTTTTAAATTGTGTCTTTAGGCACTTTGTTACTAACAGTTTGTTGCAATGTTGCAAAAGCATGTTGTTGTTTTTGTTGTTTTTTTGTTACATTTGTGAAAAATGCCAAAGATAACAGTTTGATGAGCATAAGGTAGTATTTGTGCACCAACAGGGTGATTCTTAAAGGGCGACTAGCTGAAAACTTGGCATATCTCAAAATTCTGAGCAGTGTGTCTTAAATTTGAGGATAATAGAAGAAGTGTCAGGCCTAAAAGACTATCTACAGCAGATGAACAGTATCTGAAAAGTCATATCGTTAAGTAATAAGAAAAAATCCATCAAAGACCTGACCTTAGAGACAGATCTGGCTCTTCAGTTGATCCATCTGCTGTTCACTGAAGCCTCGGGAGAAATGGTCTCAGTGGAAGGGTGGCTGTCAAGAAGCCATTCTTATGGAAGGGAAACGGGGAGAAAATCCTGAGGTATGCCAAATTACACAAAACTGGACTGAAAACCAGTGGCAAAAGCTCTTAAGGAGTGATGAATCCACTTAAGGTCAGGGGAGAAGTGCAACAGTGTGTGTCTGCAACAATCTGTAAAACATGATGGAGGCTCTGCCACGGTATGAGACTGCATTTCAGCCAGAGGTGTTGGGGGGCTCTTATGAATGCAGAAAGTGCCATCAGACTTTAATCCACCATGCAATACCACCTGGTCAGCATAGTGGCTTCATATTTCAACATGACAATGACCCAAATGCACTTGCTAATACAGTAAAAGCATACCTGGACAGAAAAATACACAATGGGGCACTGTCAGTCCTGGGCTGGCCTTCTCAGAGCCAGCAACGTGGGATCATTTGCACAGAGAACAGAACAAGAAGGCAGCCATTATTCAAAGAAGAGCTCTGAATGTCCTTCAGGGAGCTTGGAGAACTATTCCTGACTTACAAGAGAGTTTGGGCTTTGTTGACAAATAAAGGTGGTCATACCAAATAGTATGGACAAGTTTCAATAAATTGCTTAATCTCTTTACCACTTTCCCAGCAAAATATTAGGTAAAACGTGAAGGGAAGCTCAAGACTCCTCCACTGTACTGTAAATCTAAAGGGAAATGTAC